ATTCATTCCATATAAAGAGAAAAAAAGTGGTACCTATTAAGCAGTCGCTGGTTTATTTTCAAGTATTCCCTGGGTAATAGGCATTTCTTGCAGGGTCTGCAGACATACTTACATACATATATGCATTTGTAAGTGACTCATATGAATAATATTTGTTATGATGATGTTACAGATTTCGTGACGCCCACCAAACGGCAAAGCAGGGAAATAAAATTAATGAAGACACCAAAATGTCTGAGTCTACAAATAAACAAATGACTTGTGATTTGTTCATTGACGTCCAATGGTAATATGTTTATATGCTTGACACTGGCAACGTATGGATGTACACTTAACAGCCAAAATATGCATACACCATTTCTTTTTTTGAATGTTCACAGTAGATACTAACATTTTGCAAGCTAAAATTTGTTTGTTATTTTTTTATAAAAGTACTAGCAATTACCCGGCGTGCTTCGCTGCGCCTTAAATGTATTTTTGTGTTGTAACTCTCCCCCTAAGCTCTTATGGCCTCATTTACAAAATATTTTTAAAGAACTTTATGAAGTTAGATTTAAAAAAATCGATCTATGAAGCATTGTTTATTTTTTTTTTGAGTTAATATATTTTCGAAGGTAATTAGAAAATATGTAAAGAACCGACTTTCTCTTGGAAATTTAATTTATAATCTTATAACTGGAGTCTACTATCGCACCCTTTCCTCAAACGTGTATTGATTCAATATTCAAATAACGTATATTTATATAATTTGAAAAAATCTCCCTACTATACAAATATGTACAGCAATATTAAATAATATTTTCAAATGTTGTGAGAGGGAGTAACAAAACAAAATTACTTTTAAGGCGCAGCGAAGCACGCCGGGTATTCGCTAGTGTCACATGAAATTAACTGAGCAAAGTACAATGAATAGCTGTTAAACAATGGCACCATCTACTTTAAATGAAACATACTTATTTTCGTGGGGGATACTCACACACCATATACTTTTCTATTGAAATTTTTCCTGAATTTTCCTAGCTATAAACCTCCAACGAATGCAAAACCGTGAAAATCGGTTCGTGCGTTCTGGAGTTATAGCGTCAGGAAGGAAAACCCTACTTATTTTTATATTAATTTTTATATTAAAGAAGATTAAAGAACTGTCCGCATTACTCAATTTTATTTTTCACTAAAACGGTATTCATGAATTTTTTAATTTTTTTTTTATTTGCTTCCGCATACTTTTGACATAACAGCTTTCATTTTATGCCGATATTAAACAAATACAGCCTAAGTTTACCCGGGTCCACGTTTTGGTCTGTATCTCGTGACCCAAGTCACCCAGCTATATGAAAAGTGCTCAATCTTAAAGCATTCATGAA